TTGCAGATTTAATTTATTAACGGCGGTTTTGTTCTGAGCTCCTAACAGGCAGCAGGTTGTGCTCATTAGTGAGTGGAGCACAGCAAGCCTCCATTTCTACTGACATCCTGACTGTGTTAAACAGTAGGGAAGATGGCACCCGGCAGCCATTGCTCAGCTTAAAGTCCTTATTTTCTGTAATAGCTTGTGTTTTATGGAACAGGGGAAACAGCCTTCAGTCTGCCTTACGGTAGTTTGTTACAGGGAGTGTGTGAAGCTTCTTAGACCTTAATGAACGGCTCGTCTGCAGGTCTGACTGCAGTCCTGCTGTTTCTATAAGAAACTAATGTCTCGGTCTTAATCTTTTTATTGTGATATTTTCCCCAAGTTATTTGCTACCACTGCATCTTCTGTTTATGTGTATCTGGTAAAGTCCAAGTGCAGGAGTTCTTGCCTATGCAGCAAGAATGACTGCGCATGTTGTTTTAATTAAACTCATGTTTTATAGTCAGAATCTGTGAAGCTGTGGGGAAAACGTGATGAGATTGATTTTACAGAATCAACAAACAACTAAACCATATGGGGAAATAACATTTTACCTACAACGGGAATATATTTGTCAATTTTTACAGTTAATAATTTAACACTTTTGAAGGGCGTGTGAAAATTAGCTGAGAAAAAGCAGTTTCATGAAATCTTAACCCTGAAGGTACATTTCATGTTTTGTTTTTTTTTGCAGTCAGCAGTCATTTCTAACATGCAGGGAAATGACCAAAAGCAACAATTACAGGTCTGACATCAGTTTGTTGGGGGCCGAGATGGGATAGAGGTAGGGCAGCAGACTGGGGACCAGAAACTCACAGTTCAACTCCCAGCCATTCCCACATGGTGTCTCTGAGCAAGACACCTAATCCCTAATTGCTCCCCGGGTGCTTACATAGCTGCCCACTGCTCCACCTGGGTGTATCCCAGGTGTGATGGGTTAAATGCAGAGAACCAATTTCACCGTTGGAACATACAATGATGACAATCTCAGACTTCCTTTCTTGACTTCCATTCATTTCTGTATCGCACCCTGACTCTTACCTTCATGCCTAACCTAAACTTAGCTCACACCTTCATCCTTTTTTCTGAGGTCAGGTTACAAGAAGACAGTTTTAGGAGTGAAACTCAGACCCTAAACTCCACCAAGTTCTGGGTCTGCCCAGGTTCTCTTCCCACTGGGACGTGCCTGGAAAACCTCAGAAAGGAGGCATGGCAACTCAAGATGCCCACACCACCTTAGCTGACTACTTTTAACACAGAGCAGCAGCGACTCTACTTCATCTCTAAGGTGGAACACAGGACGCTCGTTTCAGATGCTTGTACCTGGATCATGATCCATACCTCATACCATGGACTGGACCATGTTGCTAAGAGAACCTCACTGCCAACAGAACCACTCTGCTAACAGAACCATGCTGCTGTAGATGTTTTTCACTTGTGCTGCTTTTGTTTTTGTATTTTTGTTGCATGCTTTAAAATTTCTTGCTGATTTTTTTTTTCTTTTTGCAATTCGAGATGGTTCTTCTCGCCCTGAGCATTTCATTGCATTGTTGACCTTGTGTTGATCTGCATATGACAAATAAACCTAAACCCTACAGGTGAGGGTTGAACTGTACAGAGCAGGAAATGAGAGCTCTGCCTTTGGACTCAATTCTTTCTTCACACAAATGACCAAAGAAACACCTTTATATTTTGGACAAGGGACCAATCCCAGATACTTAAACTTCTCTGCTTGAGGCAGACTTATTCCCTAACCTAACCTAAAAATGATGTTCCACAGTATTACGACTGGACTTTGGTCCCCGTAAGGTGTATCAGGCCTGCAAGGTAGATGATTATATTAAAAAAGGTTATTAAATGGTATCAAAGCCCAAGTGCACACACAGAAACATCAACTCTTTTCCACTTCACTCCATCCTTGTTCTTCTCTTGCTTGCCTCATGAAAACAAAAATCTGTTGCGTATAACTCTGGTGCATAAGTTTACCCCGTTCACCAACCTCAAGTGTTGAAAGAAATAAAGGAACACGAGCTGAATTGCAGTAGTTTGTTTTTCTTTTCCACGTAAGTCTGTTATTTTAGCCAGAGGTTTCGTGTATGAAAGACAATTGAGAAACTAACAAACTCAGACAAGCTGCCGCACGACATGTTTCATTCTATGACAGAAACCTAACCCGGCTCCATCTACTGAGCAGCGGAGGTACTTAAAGCAGTGACCTCACTGCACATTTCCTGTCTGCAAAAGAGTCAGATTCAACTGTAGAAAGTAAAGATTTATTATTTGTTAAAAATCTCTGATTCTCTGCAGCGAATTGTGAAGAGCTCTTTGCAGATGCATCGCAAGCCTCTGCCTGTGCTTGTAATTATTTATAATTTTTAAAGCATTAGGTTTTTGCACAAGTTCAGCAGGAGCTTCCACACCCTTGTCAGCCGTGATCAGCAGGTGCTTCTCAGTCTGCAGCTGGTGTTCAGCTCTGTCCTCTCTATTCTTCTGCATCATCCACCAAATACTTATCTGCAACTTTCTGAATAGGCAGCTTCACAGCTTTAGGTGAAACTTCCCTCATTAATGAATTTGAGTTTATAAGCGCTCAACCAACAAAACACCCAGACAAAAAGTTATGGTTATATAAAAGCTGCAACATGAACAAATGAGAACAATGGGATGTATCTTCACTTTGACATCGTTTCAATTTCTTGACTGTTTTCTTTCATTTTACTTTAGTTTATTTTTCCTCCTGTTTGTTCAGTTGATAATCTGGGATGGCTGTCAGTGAGGCAGTTCTTTGTGTGAATCGGCAGATAAATCAGTAGCAGAGCTGCACTGGGAGCACAGCTTCATTTGTCATCACTCGCAGTTACATAAGTTTTATTCCTCTCCTGTATTTTACAGCAGCTGTATGTGATATTAAAACATAACTGTGCTACTTTAGTGTTTCCCTAGATCGAGGAAAAACATCAATCATGAACCGAATATTGCTCTGTCACCGCATCCACTTTATCACCGAGATGCTTTTCAGAATTACATTTCCACTTCTCTGATAAAAAATAAATTACTTTAGATATACAGTTCACATTAATTTACCTTTTTTATGCCTTGCATGTTTACTGAGCCGTTGCTGGATTAATGTAACACGCCCAGTGGCAGACTCTGTTAAAAAGCAAGTCTCCTGACATTTTAAATGGATTTATGTTTCCAACAAATTCACATATCAGGTCAAAGGCAGACTAAGATTGCCATTCTTCTTGTAAATTTTAGCAAAGAACTAAAGATGTTCTTGACTCACAGAGTGGCCGAACAGACACTTAACGTTTGTTTTATACCATGCTGATCAAATTTAATTACCCAGATAAAGACATGTAGCAGGAAATAGATTACTAACAAGTCCTTCGAAGGTCTGTTTTGAGATCAGCTGTCGCAGAAATGACTCAAACAGCAGATTTTCTTTCTCCCCAGTTGAGTTGTGAATGTTTTCCCTCTTTGGCTAATAAAGACAACAGCTGTGAGATGAGTTTACAAAATGTTGGGCTGCAGAAAGTTGCACAATAAGAATAAAATGAGGAAGAATGAGAAACTGGGGGTATTACTGTACCTTTCGCCGTAAACGTAGCATCGCCGTATAGGTGGCATCAGTCTATATATGTCTACTAAAGTGAAAAAAACATAAATATGTTGCTTCGCCATATAAGTCACATCTACTACACGTCACCACTGACACGTCACATTTGTTATGCATCACCATTGACCATCTGGAAATGTGGACTAGTGTTGTGCCAAAAAATCGATTGGCTGCCAAATGACGGCCGCGGGAGTGTGCACAGGAGGACAAAAATTTAACAAGATTAACACTTAAAAACAATCATTTGTTTGCTCGAAATTATAGCAAAGGTGTGTCTCAGTTTAACTTTTCCTTCATAAATGCACTTTAATGGTCAAATCAGCTGCATTTCGCCTGGGCGGCGCAGCGAAATGCAGCTGATTTGATGTTTGCTCCAGGAGTTTTGGAGCAAGACAAAGGTGGCCAGTATGGCAAGCCAATTGTCTCATTAATAGCCACTTGTGCCTATTAATGAGGCACTTGGCTTGCCATACTACTCAAGGGCCCTCTAGCGGCTAAAATGGTAGTGTTCAATATTTTCCATGTCAGAATGAGTGAAATAATTAGATCTCAGACAAAAATTGGGTTATAAATATGTGAAAAAAAACCATAAATAAGCCGCTTTGCTGTATAAGTTGCAGGCATGCTAATTTATGCCAAAAGTGTGACTTATACAGCGAAAAGTACAGTAAATGGATTAAATAAAAAACAACGTTTTGTCTGTTTTAGTTGTACAAAATTTTAAAGTCATAAAGAAACAGAGCCCGTTTGTTTAATCTTGGGTTAAAGATTTTACCAATATTGCTTCCATTAGACCTCCTTCTCAGATTTGTTTTATTTATGGAAAGTTTTATCACTTAATTTTTTTGAACACCAGAACCAATGACACAAAACACAAATACATTCAATATAGCACCTTTGACACCTAATTTGACAAAAAATGTTATAAAAGAGTATAAAAACACATTAGATAGACCGTTACACTTTAAATTTGCAGCCATAAGTCAATATTATCATGTGCCTATCCAAAACCAGTAGAGCCATGTTAAATCAACCCCCCAATGACAAAGGCCTGTTTAAGCCGTGATGATTCCAAATGTCTCCAATAAATAAAACGGGGGAACATACAAATTTGTAGCTGTGGAAAGATTTGCAGTTGACTTGTAGTTCCAAGTGCAGCATTTCAAAATAAGATAATCAGCATTTGAATCAAACAAAATGACTGACTGTGGAACGTTTGGCAAGCAAAGCATGTATTTATCTCAAAGTTCCTGATTGACACTAAAGGCTTTTAGCCTTAGTTTCCATTTCACTTTAACATGCTGCATTTTCAAAGGTTTATTAAAAAAGACACACTTGGTATTCCTTTCCCTCAAAAAGAAGCAAATGGTTAGTTTGAGTTCAGACAGCTGGAGGCTCGTGATGGCAACATAATGTCTTAGTTTTTCTCATCTGGACTCCGTTCCACTAAGACATTCACTCACAAATGAGTTAAATGTCACAGTATCTTTGTGTAGTCTCATCAGTCTTGTAGAGGACAGGCAGACTTGTGTGAGTCTTGTGTAAAGCATCCTGTCGGATCAGTAGGGGTATGCTGAGACCGAGATGTAGATGATGAAGATGCTCTGGTATGTGATACGACCCTGTAGTGAGATGGTGGTGGCCTGCACTTTGAGCCGTACAAGCCCCGGTCTCTCCAGAGCTCGCAAGGTAAAGATTATCCCCCTGCCGGCTTCATCTTTGATGCCAAACACCCGTCCTATCATACCCGTCACCGGCTCTTGCTCAAGTATTGTAAAGGAAGTACGCTTCTGCAGGATTCCTGACTCTGAGAACGCTGATAGTCGTATCACGTTGTAAGTAGCTGGTATGCCAGAAGGAAGTGTGAGCAGCTTGTACTGGAGGACCAAAGGAGAGCCTGTGGTGGCACAATCCTGAGAGCAGGTCCTGTAGCATGTCCTTTGCAGCGTAACAGGAAAGAGAAGATGTATCAGTATCACAGTAATACAAGCAATGTGCAGTTACTGTGTCACTAATGCCTTCTTGGTGCATTGTTTTTGTTCTATCAGTGCTGAGCATATTCTTAGTCTGTGTATTCTTAGTTTAGTGAATGTAGTATATTCGTAGTTCATGACTTGGATCTTACTAATTTATCATTTGTATTTTTGTTGGATGTAACTGGGACCCTGTGTACATAGTTTCATCCCACCTCATGTACAAAGTACCACGTGTGGTGTGTATGACAAATAAATCTCTCTGAATCTCTGAAATGTTGCACAATGCTCGTTAGACTGATGAGTCATTTTACCCAGGACTTCTTCCACTTTGGTAGGACGCTGGACATGGTGTGTCCAGACACTGGTACCCCCCTCTGGTGTTAAAACACATCTGGTTGTGTTCACACTGAATTCCTTGTTCGACACACTCATCAATGTCTACCATAAAAAAAGGAAAAGGAACTTATCTGTAAGCTATACAGAGGTTCAAAGTTGTGTTATTTAGAGACTGTCTATGACTTTTACCTTTGCAGCTTCTGCCATTGGGGAGTAGCTGGTATCCTGGGGGGCACAGACACTGAAAACTGCCAATGGTGTTTCTGCATTCATGCTGACATGACGTCCTGAGCAAACACTCATCCACATCTATACAGGAAAATAATACAGCAATGTATTTGCAATATTCAAAATATTAACACGCTCCAAAGCTGGTAATAAATTCTGATTAAAACGTACCGACACACGTGCCGTCTCTGTTGGTGTAGCCCACAGGACAACTCTGTCTGGTAATACGAGACGCTCCGTTGGAACGAGAGAGGATGGGCCTGCCGAGGGATGACACCAGCTGTGGGCGGAGTCTGGTCCTGACTCTAGTCCCATTGATGAAGGTCTGCCCTCTCTCGAGTCCTGCGCAAGAGCGTCCGTCCCCGAGCAGCGCCATCCCTGGGGGGCACAGGCACCTGAAGCTGCCAGGCACGTTGCGGCACTGGTGAGCGCAGGGGTTTGGCGTTTGCTGACATTCGTCAATATCTGAAAGGTGACATAAAATTCAGGTTTAATCTCGTGCGCATTTCAACTAGCGGGACGTCAAAGTGTTTTACAAAACAAACTAAACTGTAGTCCCACCCAAACATGGAAGCCCGACTCCCTGGGATCGGTACCCTCTGGGACAAACACAACCATATCCTCCGACTGTGTTCTGACAGATCTGCGTGTAGCGACACATGTGACTGCCGTCCTGGCACTCGTCAATGTCTATACAAATAAAGACGACAACGACCTTTCTTTAGAATGATGCATCCATTTGAACATGTATTTATTTAATGCAGTGCTTCAAATCAAAAGTCATAAAAACATGTTTTACTTTAAAAAAAAATGATACTAGGTAATTAGTAAATAAATATAACTAATTAATTTGTACTTTATTTGCTTATTGTGCTGCTGGAAGATTAAGATAGTGCCAAAAACAATCCGTTGTGGGGGGGGGGGGGGGGGGGGTATTTGCCTCTTCATAACTTTTTAGTAAAAAGGAGTACCTTATTTTTGTTTAGTTTGTGAGGAACAAACTTCCTCGTGCGCCCTAACGATCCTGTAGATGTCAGCTTTGTATCACATTTAAACTGCAGTTCAACCCTCCTTTTTCTTGAGCTCTTAAAAGCGTTAACATGAGCTGATGCTGTCTACACGTAGAACGGAAAGTTTTATGTATCCTGCGACGCTAAATTTGTCACAGACTAAATAATGAAAGTGGATGAAAGTGGAGTAAGTTGGTCACTGACCCACACAGGCTCCATTCTCTCCTGTGGTCATTCCAGCTGGGCAACTGTCAAAACACTGGTATCCTCCATCTGTGTTGCGGCACTGCTGGTGAGCTGGGCACACATTCCTCGTGCACTCATTGATGTCTGTGAAAGTGAAAACATTACAGCTGGCTTGTTATGAATAATATGAATTTAACTCTGCACAACATGCTAGCTTGGATAGTTCTATAAATCTTCTGGAGCGGGTCCAATTTTCTGCGACTACTTATAAACACGGTGAAACGGTGAGCTGACTGACCGATGCAGCGGTGTCCTGACTGCTGGTATCCAGGGTGGCAGATACAGCGGAAGGAGCCCAGAGTATTGAGACACTGATGATGGCACGGAGAGACGGTAGACTCCTGGCACTCGTCCACATCTGCAAGACAAATTTGTCCCAAAGGATTTCATCATTTTCCATGTAAAATCCATCCAGCATGGTTTGGTTCGACACGAGGAGATGCGTTTTAACAGAGTCACAGTGATTTACCTTCACAGCTGGTTCCTGTGAGGCTGGGTTTAAAGCCTGAGCCACACCTGGCCTGACAGCGGTATGTGCCCACCGTGTTTACACACTGCTGGTTGAAGTGGCACATGTGGGAGCCTTGGGAGCACTCATCAATATCTGACAGTGCATGTGGCATAATACAGTAATGGGATTATGATGGGATTTTACACGTGGCTAATCTAAAACAAAACGTTCAACAAGTTATTATGTTGGCTCACCGTGGCACGAGTTGGTCTCTGCAGAAATGGAGAAGCCAGAGGGGCAGGTGCAGGTAAACCCCCCCATGATGTTGTTGCATGAATGGGAGCAGGGAGACTGCAGCGCACACTCATCTTCATCTAGTAGAAACGTGTTTTATTAACGTAACATTATTACGTTTGCAAAGAAGGCAAAAAATATTCTAATAAAGCAAACGAGGCGTTAATGAGGACAACGTACCAGCACAGTAGGAGGCTGTGTCAAGAACAAAGCCTTTTGGACACGTGTCTTCATAACCATCTGCAGTGGAAATGCACTCACTGTTAGCTTTTGCAACATTTAGAAACTCATTAAGTAGCTCTTGTAATGATCTGGTGGTAAAAGTTAATTATAGTAGTCTTCTTCCCCAGACCTGGTATGAGAAGTGTTGAAGTGATGTGGAAGTCCATCGTAAGAGTAAACATGTTGTAGACACTGTTCATCCCGGAGACTTTGAGCAGCTGGAGCACAGGGCCCTGGCGCTCCTCCTGACCCTCGTAAATAATTGTGTGGTTACAGCGCAGCACCGTGGGCTTCCCTCCTCTCTGGTGGGTCTGTGATGACCAGGAGTACAGCTGCCCTTGGCCCGTTTGCACGTATGACTCATCAAACTCCTGTGGGACAAAAGCAAAGTCAGCTCAGACAGATCTGAAAAACATGTGAAGCGTGACAGGATGAAATTCTCTAGTGATGCATCCAGAAGTCAATTTTATCATTTTTAACGCACACTGTGGTCACTTGAGCAAACACACCTGGAGGCTGAGGTGAGATGATGACAACGATGGAGGTATAAATCCATTAATGACAACGTCAATTAGCAGAACTCCCTCAGCATCCAGTCCTCTGGCAACATGAGTCAAGCGAAGGATTTCACCTGAGGAGCAATAAAATAAAAGTTTCATGTACAAAAATGTCCAAGTTTTGTTAGAGAGTGCTTCCACCTGCTGGCTACTGTTTACAGGTGCAACACTCACAAAAGATAAAAATTGATGCGACTTGTTCATTTATTTATTTACTGGTGTTTTAATCACAAATTAGTTTGCATTAAAAAATGCAAAACATGTTAAGTTCAATATTTTAGTCGTGTGACAGATGAATAACTCACCAAACCTCCTGTCACTATAAACAGTTATATGTTAAATAAACTGCAGTTTTGAAATAATAAATGACAAATACTTAAAGTTTGTGTTTATTAATGTCAAAAATGGCTGTTAATAAACCTCACCGGTCTCAAACTCCAGCTGAGACTCCTGCCTGAACAGGCCCTGGGTAAAGGAGTAGCCATTTCTGGTGGCTTCACCCTGAAGCACAGTGGTCCAATAGATGGGAGTGAACACAGACACCAGAACCCACAGCAGGGGACCTGCAGGAGGAAATCATCAGATCTTGGACTCTTACTGAACCTCAGAGACAAACTAGTCAACTTCTCATCTGGTTATCAGAAGCACAGAGCAGTGTTTAGTTTTAATATTAGTTGTTTATTAAAGTGCCTAATAAAGATTAGGTCTAGATTATCACAGTTGGCCTGAATTGACTGATAAATCATCATCATACTCTTATTTCCAACATCCATCTATAAGTCAGAGTTTTGCTTCTGGTGCAATTAAATCTGTAGGGATTCGTTTCCAAAGCTTTCGAACTTGTGCAAATATAAAATATAAATCAACTTGCTGAAAATACTTGGATATAAGCCTTTTGTGTTTATATGTGCCCAGACTCACCCACAGTGGGGGGGATGTTATCCAGGTGTGCCTGTAGAGTGCTGCTGCCCTCCTCCATGTTGTCTGTAATGTTGGCCTCCAGGAAGGAAACACCAAACTCTCTGTCGTTGACCATCCCGATCAGGCTGCCCCGGGTCTTACGTGGGACCTCACCTGTCACCAGCAACACACAACAAAAATACCAGTCAAAAATGTCAACAATGTCACTTTCTTCATGGGTAGATAAGAACTGGGATGAATAAAAGAGTCAGGTGAGTCCTACCTGGACACAGACCAGTCTGGCATTTCCTGGAGTCAACACTTGGACCGCTGCAGGTGCGTCCACCGTTTGCTGGTTGTGGATTGTTGCAGGACCTGACTCGTTCTTGAACACCTTGCCCACACGTGCTACTGCAAGGACCCCACTCCTCCCAGTTAGAGTAGCCTCCGTTAACTAAGATAGAGAAGAAGAGAGAAATTTGTTTAAAGTTTAAACTGCAAAAATGATTTTGGTTTAGACAAATTATTAAGAAATTCCATTAGGCAAAAACTAAATGTGTTATTTGACGAGAACGTGTTTCTCAGTTGTTCATCACTGAAGCACGAAGCAGAACTCACTCTGAACCTTGAGATTAATGGTCCTCTCAGCTGTTCCAGCCTCACTCTGAGCCACACACTGATACTCTCCTGCATCTGCAGCCTGCAGAGCACACGGAGGACACAACATAGCTTTAATGATATGATACACCTTCAGGGCAAACCCCCTTTCAATTACTTTTTTAAACTAAGAAAGAATGAAAAAATGAATCATTTTCCATGTGGCTGCATATTTGGTTCTATAGAAACTGTCATGATAGACATGTATCAGCCAAAGAGGGTCAATTTAACATTAGAGCGCTCTGTGGGAAGGACAGTCATCCATCTGTGAGGAAGCCTCAGCTGCAGGCTGTGCAATTACAGCAGCAGATACAGAGCATAACGAGGTTACAGGCCAGAGCGGGAGAGGCTGAGAACATGCAGCTCTGTTCGTTCCTTCCCTCTGTTGCTAATGCTGTTAGCCGCTGTGGCTGAACTGAATCTGATTTAGGGGGAGGCATGACACTGCACGACAGTCACACACTGTTCCTCCATCGAAGCTGACTGCAAATCAAGCTGAGAAAGTATAAACCTGCTTCATTATATAACATGAAACATTTGCTGCAGCTTGCTTAAGAAGAGCTAAATGTTAAAAGTTTAGATAAACTTGTTTGGAGTCAGTGTTCCTTCAACAGGATGCATAATATTTACAGTGATGCTGTAAATGACCAAGGATCCGTTGTGGAGGGTTTGCATCCGAACAAGGTGCTGTAAAGGCGTCCCGTTCCTGAGCCAGCGGAGAACGGGGCTGGGGTCCCCGTGGACCGGACAGTCGAGCATTGCAGAGCCCCCGTGGATGACAGTCTGAGACATGTGGGCTTCACCCTTTAACACCGGAGGCTCTGGAGGTCCACAAGATACACATTTATATTATGATATGAATAAACGAGGTGATGGTGTAACAGATGAACCAAAGGAACTCATGTAGAAAAGGCTCACCTCTGATCCGGACAAACGCGAGCGCACGAATGGAGCCCACGCTGTTTTCTGCTAAGCACACGTAGGTGCCAGCATCGCTCACAGTCACATTCTCAATGATGACTGCGCTCCTGCCTGCTTCATCTACAGCTGCTCCTGGGACAGATTCCATCAATGCTGTCAGGTGGATCAATGTACAACATGAAGTTTTATCCACAAATACTGTGACGTTTCACGTGTCAGACACTAAGATGAGAATGAAGAACTATGAATTGTAAGTTACATAAATGTTGTACATCCTCCCAAATGAAAATACTGAAACACAATACCTGTAAAGGGTCTGCTATTGACAGTCCAGAAGATGGTGGGAGGAGGGGTTCCCTGAGCGTGGCAGGAGAGGACCAGGCTCTGCCCCTTGTTCAGGGTTACATCACCTGGCAGCTCTTTGAAGACGGGCCTCGTGTTGATTGAGAGGTGGACGTCTCGTCTCACAGAGCCCGCAGGGTTTGTGGCTACGCAGGTGAATACACCAGCATCCCCCGGCTGTACCAAGAAGAAACAACTCAAAACTGATTTGCCAACAACAACAAACAAACTGTGTGTTTCAGACTGTTGTAAATAATACAGACAATAATCAGACTAACCTCAGCTCTCTCTATAATCAACTCTCCGGACCGCAGGACTGTGAATTTGCCAGGAAAGGTGGGCACAGTGACACCGTCCTTCTCCCATGACACTCTGGGCTCTGGTGACCCCTGAGCTGCACAGGGCAGAAATGCCTGAAAACCCTGAATGACTGACAGCTCTGTCTGTGCAGGAGGAATCACGGGTGGGACTGAAAGGCACAAAAACGATCAACTACATGATTATTGCTCCAACACGACGTGAGGTAGAGTTAAAGTCCTCCATCACCTTGAACAAGCAGTCTCATATCGTGGCTGGTTCTTCCCGCCACGTTTTTGGCTGTGCACGTGTAAAGTCCTGCATCGCTGCGCTGCGTGGAAGTAATTGCCAGAGTTCCATTGGCAAAGAGACGGATGTGAGCCCCATCAATCAGTGGCCTTCTTTCTTTATGCCAAGTAACTTGGGGTTGCGGCTGCCCGTCAGCCACACACTCCAGACTGACTGGCTGACCTAGGACAGCCGTGTACTCGACACGAGGCACACTCAGCACAGGTGGAACTAAAAGAAATCAGGAGGTGATATTAGTTCTAATCACTTCTAAATGCCTGGAACTGTTTAGGAATGATGAGTAGCCATCTTTAATTTGAGGGTTTTATTGCTCATGGGAAATCAAAAAGTCTGCATTACCTTGAAGGACCAGTTTGGTTTTTGCTACAGTTACACCAGCGTCATTCTTCGCCAGGCATTGGTAGGTTCCTGCATCACCAAGTGTCACACGGGAGAACTTCAGCGCTCCGTTGGAGAGCACAGCCAGCCTGTGACCTGCAGCCATCACATGATCAGGAGCATAAAATTCAGTATCAAACACGTTTCAGTGAGAACTACCGGGTCGAGCCTTATTTCATAGTCAAACCACAGTCTCTGTGATGAAATCTGCTCGAGTGTGACACGTGTTTGTGACAGCAACAGATGTCAGGGGAATTTAGGTAAAGGTCATGGATGTAATCACTAATGTTAAATTAATGTAGAAGCATGTGTGTGAGGTCAAGAGAGTTTTTTTGTCTACTCAGAGAGGAGCCAGTAGGCGCCTGATGAACTGCCTGCAGATAACACAACTGCTGACGCCTTCAAATCTGTGAGCTGGAAGGCAGAGGTTGCCTTGACCTCGCCTGTCTGATAAGAATTAAAGACACTTCTTTATACTGTCCTTGGGCAGACCTTATGACTGGAGCTTCAATCAGTGGTGTGCGATGCTACAAAATTTGGTATTGATCCGATACCAAGTAAATACCATAGCTATGGTAAATACAGGTCCGGTATCGCTGATACAGATACTGATACAGATATCAATACTTTTAAAAATAATTACGTGAATTTTGATGACGTTTAAGTGTTTTGTGATTTTTCCTTTGGATTATTCTTCCACATGATTTCCCATGTGCTTGTATAAATTTGTTGTGTTACCACTGTATCTTACAGCCTTTTTACAAGTTAAACAGTTTGCCGTTCTTTCATTTTCAGCCTGAAAGTATAGCCACACAGCGCTCCTTTCCCTCTCTGTCAGTTCTCTGCTCCGTCTCTGCGCTGCTTATGCATGTATGCTGCTGCTGGGTCGAGCCTGCTTGCTTGTCTGGCGCCGCTGAGCCACGTGATAGTATAACATCGAAACACTGCGGGTAGGGGTGAAGCACAGTTGTCTGCTCTGTGCTGTGACGGGAGCAGCACTTACACAGACAGTCATCTCGCATCTTTGATGAAACCGCAGCAGTGCATGCAGGACAGAAACTGAAGCTAAAGTATCGATCACATTACACTGGTATTTATCAATATCAATACCAATGTTGGTATCGATATTAATCGATATTTGAATCAATCAGCCCACCACTAGCTTCAGTGTAAGATCTGTGTAAGCCTGTGTGTTAACACTGCCTCCCTCCCCCTTGCAAGGAGTAAACTGTAGGATGCACACAATCATCGGCATGGTATCGGTATCAGCCGATATTAACGATAAAGTTAAATATCGGACATCGGCCATTCAATCAAAATAACTCACCGATTTAAAAGGCTTCTGTTTTAGGTTAATATTCTAATTTCAAAAACTGTCAAGTATATCTATTAATGTACTACTACTTATGCGCTTTTCATTTGTCACTTGTGAACAGGTTGAGTTTAGATTTGTGAAAATGTACAAATTTGCACTGTTCGAGTGTTGTCACTGTGTTAGAGAGATTAAATATCATGAATAAATTTGACATTAAACATAATCCAAGTTGAAGTGTTACATCATCTTCAGCCCCCTTGTTGGCATCTGCATTTGGCAGCAGGTCAAATTGACAAAGACCATGCAGAATAATGTAGTATTTTAATTCCACAACAGAGACAGCTGTAGTTTCTGTAGGTAGATCAAGGGAAAAAATATCGGTATTGTTATCGGTTATCAGCCAAATAAGTTTTAACATATCGGATATTGGCCAAAAATCCAATATCATACAGCCCTAGTAAACAGGGTTAAAAATCTTCTTGTAACCTCAGAGTGGCTTATTTGAATAATGTGTTGATGGTAGGATAATTAATTTATCCAACATCTTTGGTCCTTCGAGCCGGATTTGAAGCAGCGACCTAAGGATTATTTATCCTGTCATCAGACACCAGTGGCCGACTGCTGTCAAACAATACATCAGATTAATTGTTTTACAAATCCAGTGTACAGTAGTGGGTTGTACCTGCTGCTATGGGAACGCCCTCTCTCTGCCAGGTGATTGACGGTCTTGGGAAGCCATGAACCTCACAGGGAAGTACAGTTCCATGATGCAACACTACTTGCACTTCCTCCGCCATTGGTCGGATCTCTGGCAGCTCTTGAGTGCACAAACAAGCACATGATTTGGGTTTGTATGTTCTTCCCACTTATTATGTTTGCTTAATGACTGACAGCAGGTTTTGTAGAGCCTACCTTGTACTGTGAGAGAGACATGCTTGTGAGCCACTCCGGCTGGGTTACGGGCTGAGCATGTGTATCTGCCAGCATGACTTGGCAAAGCAGCTGTGATCTCCAGCACCCCTTCATTAAAAAGACCAAAACAGCTGAACAATGCAATGTGAGGAGCTTTAAGTCCTGAACATATCCTTAGATTAACTCTCTTACCAGTGGGAAGAACACGATAACTTCCTCCTCTCGTGCTCAGTTTAGCTCCACCTTTGGACCAGGTGACAGCGGGCTGTGGGCGTCCATGTGTGAGACAAGGCAACACCACGGGGGACATTTTCACTGCCTTAACTGCTGTGACATCATCCTCAATAGATGGTGGCACTACAAAGGAATAAATCAAATCCAAGAATTCGGACATCCAAAATTGCATTTTGCATTCTGGCTATGGCACACATCTTCAAACCATCACCTTGCAGGACAACTTCGATTACCCTGCGCTCCTCTCCAGCATCATTGACTGCCGTGCACTCAAAATAACCTTCATCCTCATTGGATGGAGACAAAAGAACAAGAGACCCAGAAGATAATAACCTGGATGAGTGACCAAGGAGAATGAGCTTCAGTATTTATGGCTGCATGAGCTGTGCTGCAGATTTATTGTGTATTTACAGCTGCAGTTTTTCACCTGTATGCACCAGCAGGCTGGCTTGTGTCAACTGGGGTTCCATTCCTCTTCCAGGATACTTTAGGTGTGGGTATACCTGTTGTCTCACAGCTCAGCACGGCTCTAATTCCAGTGGTTGCTGTAATATTGAATGGACCTGGTCGGATTGAAGGGCCCACTAAATAAAAAAGGAGGGATTAAAATGAACATATAAGCTTGAGAAATTGTGATAAAATACAAAATTAAATAAAAAAAATTAAACGGAAGGGCCATCATTTGTAATTTTTACATAAAACTGACTGACAGATACTTAATGAAACCATATGCAGCATTTACCAAACACTTGAAGGTCCATTCCTCTGTGATCGGAGCCGGCCTGGTTGGACACTGTGCAGTAATAACGACCAGCATCGTTCACCTGAGTCCTGTGTATCTGCAAGGAGCCTTCTGATAACATTGTGTACCTGAAGTTAAAAGATAAGTGATCATTATGCTTCGTCCTATATGTAACTGGCTTTGGCAAGCATAAATGATAGATGTCATTATCATCTAAGAACATACCTATTATTATTTCTAGGCAGAGGGAAGCCATCTTTCCTCCACATGACTGTGGATGAGGAGTCACCTTCAACTTCGCAGGGTAAAACTGCATCCTGACCAACATGAACAGTTATCATGGAGGCACTCTCCTTTATTACTGGCGGTACTGGAAGTACAAAGACAAACTCGATTTATTGCCTGGTTCAGCAGTTAAAACTGTTTTAAAAACATTTTACTCTGTAATTTAAAAGGATTTATTTCGTACATCGTGTTGTTTAGTTTTCACAACTTCAGTCATTTGCAGAAATGAAACTTTACACAATAAAGGCTTTATGTTTGGCAGAATAATCACATTTCTCATCATAGTTATTTTCAGCTCATTTTAAACTTCTGAAGTGATACTTACAGCTATGAAGGGTAGACATAGCATTTTATTTGAGCTGAGAGCATGCATATTGCATTGATTTGAAACAAAACAACAACAGGGTTAAAAAATGATGGAAAAGACAAAGTAAGCTCCCTCCTATTCTAAAACAACAACCACAAAATAAAATATGACCAATATTTTTATATGACAGTGGTTTTCTTGCAACTTTTATTCCTTCATTTTTTTTTTACAATTATCCACTCCTTTGTAAGTCAAACCAGATGCACATTTGAACCACAAAAAAGTCATCTCTGATTTTCTCAAGTACGCAATTTGAAAACATTTAAAGAAAATCAACAGTAAAATAAAATAAAAGCAATTCAGTTCTTCTATAATTGTTTTAAACATCCAGTCACACAGTTCCCTCAAATAAATTAAAGCTGTTTTTACTTAAATAGGCAACAAGCTAACTGTGGAAAGATTGCTTTGGTGCATGGAGACAAAGTTTTTTTTTTAATTATAATTTACAAAACAAAAATCCAAATAGTTCCATTTATGTACTTATCCTTACAGAGAATCTCCACGGTGAAGAAGAGACTTGTGCTTCCAGCCATGTTCGTGACCACACAGCTGTACTGGCCACTGTCCTCACGCTTGACTTCCTGGATCTCCAGGTACTGACCTCCTGCCAGATGCTGGACACGCCCACCCAGCTGATTTCACAGGAGAGGAGGAAAACTCATTGTGTGGGTCAGAGGAACTCAATATTTGGGGAAGAGGTGAGTGCAGCTTTCTTTCTTTGTACCTGCAGTTTAGCCTTATCCTTGTACCACTCTATGCTAGGAGGGGGGTCACTGTCAGCCAGGCACTCTAATGTCAGGTGTCCATTAACCGGCACAGTCACTGCTTTCACATCACCGGAGCCGAGCAGCGTTGGTGGAACTGAAACACCAACATAAAAAGCTTGCTTCATTTATGAAAATAAAAAAAAATCCTTTAGAGATCAAACCGTTTTTGTCTAAATGCCTTAACATATTTGATCAAGGACGCAAAATATTTAAAGATAGATTAATACGTATTAAGCGTTCACATCGTAGAAATGCAAGCTTAGCTTTCCGCTCGGTGCAGAAACAGTTAAGATGTGCTGTAAAAATGAGGCTGCTGATAAAGCAAGGAAGGTAGAAAAGTGTGTTTTTGGCAGCTTTTCTTAAAGTGTTAATCTTAGCCGTTTAAAGGATCACATTTTTAAAAGCATCATAAATGTTGCAAAAAAATTAGGCAAAATACAAAGATAATGCTTGGAGCTGTGTAATCGATCATAAACATGCATTATTTGACACATACTGCAGATAAATGTTGTAACAGTCAGTTTTAAACGTTATTCTCTTCTAAATGTGGACAAATCTGTCCTCGTTGAGTCACAGATAAGGATCTTTAGGAAATATGGAGGATATAATTTATTTCTTCAGTGTTGACGATTTAAAAAGAACAGCTTGTGTCACCTTGGACTCGAACCCAGTGGCTTTTTCCGTCCTCTCCAGCGAGGCTGCTGGCCAAGCAGGTGTAGAGACCTCCATCCTCCACCTTTAAACAGAGAACATGTATCAGCTTCAGTCCCTTTGGGACAACGTCCTGGAGTGATGCAGTCAAAACTCTGACCTCCAGTAACAATTAAAGTGCTCTGTATTTCTTAATGTTCAAACATTTATTTTAAGGACAAACAAGTTTCACCATTCTGTGATTCAGTGAGTTTTATTTTATGAATATTATTACTGTAATAAATTGTTTATGTGCTCCCACAGTTAAGCTGTAATGTACCTGAACTTTACTGATCCGAACCAATTGTCCATCCTGCTGAATTACAGCAGTCCCCTCCAGTGGCTGACCATCTTTGAGCCAGCTGAGGGTGGGAGGAGGGACCCCCACAGCAGAGCACTCCAGCTCAAGTGGGCTGTTTATTGCTACTGTCAGTTCTTCTGGAGAGCCGGCGCGGGATATCTTTGGAGGCACTGCATCGAACAGGAGAACGTTTCGGCTCAGTATTTAATGAGTTTACATCATGACTTTTGGACGAAGAGAAATGAAAACAAACAGTTTTACCGAGCACGGTGAGGTTAAAACTCTTAGTGCTGCTTCCAGCCTGGTTACTGGCCACACAGCTGTAGAGGCCTTCGTCTGAAGGAGCCACATCTGGCAGCTGCAGCCGAGTCTCCTCACCATCCAGTAACAAGTTGCGATGAAGAGAAAGTGGATGGCCATCCTTCAGCCAGGTCAGTGTGGGAGGGGGAACACCACGTGCCTCACAGGTCAATGTCACCAAAGATCCCTGGACGATTGTGACTGGTTCCACTGGTTCCACATTATCCACACCAGGGGGCACTGCAGACAAAAATACACCCTGAGTGAAACTGTCTGAAGAGGATTGGATGGTGGCTTGGTATGGTTTTACCTTGAACCTGTACATCATAGCTGAGCTCAGCGAGACCAGCTTGACTCCGTGCTACACATGTGTAAACTCCAGAATCAGACAGTTGGACCGGAGCAATCCTATTATTTTAAATAACATTTAGTCAAGTCAAGTCACATTTGTTTATGAAGCACATTTACAACAGCAGCTGTTACCAAAGTGCTTAACAATAAGATTAAGGCAACAATTAAAGAAAACAAAAAAAAACCTGTAATTAAAAGCATCAAAATAAAAACATAATAACACAAAAACAATGAGAAACAATGAAATACTAGATCAAATCAGACAGTGTTAAACATCAGTGAATACAGGTGTGTTTTAGGAGAGATTTAAAAGCAGGAAGTGAAGTGTCCTGTCTAATGTTGATGGGCAGAATGTTCCAGAGTTTGGGGCCAATGACTGAAAAAGCCCAATCTCCTCTGAGCTTCAGCCTGGTTTTTGGTACAACCAAAAGCAGTTGGTCAGATGATCTCAATGCCCGAGAAGGTTTGAAGTAGGTCAGAAAGATATGAGGGTGCATGTGCATGGCCATTAATGCACTTAAATGTCAACAGGGGAATTTTAAAATCAATTCTGACACGCACAGGGAGCCAGTGAAGGAAGGACAGAACTGGTGAAATATGCTCAAACCTACAAGTTCCTGTTAATAGCTGAGCTGCAGTGTTTTGGATGAGCTGGAGACGTGAAAGGGACACTTGACTGAACCCAACATAAAGTGTGTTACAGTAGTCCAGCCAGTTTGTAACAAATGAATGGAATCTTTTTTCAAGGTCAGATCTTGCCAACACAGACTTAAGTTTAGCTATCTGCCTTAACTAGTTGTTGTTGTTTTTTGTAGAACTTGAAGTCAGAGTCTAAAACCATCCCAAGATTTGAGATGGACTGCTTATGGCTCAAGGGAGTCAAGGTTAACAGAAATAGAGACAGCAGTAGAGCTAGAGCTAAACACAATGACTTCAGTTTTCTAAGCGTTGAAACTTAAAAAGTTTGAAGCCATCCATGCCTTAATGTTATCAAGACATTTTAACAGAGGGTAAGAACTATTTGGTTTTAAGGGCAGATAAATCTGATAATCATCAGCATAGCAATGAAATGAAAGACCATGTTTCCTCAGGATAGACCCCAAGGGAGCAGATACAATGAAAACAGAAAGGGCCCAATAATAGAGCCTTGCGGGACCACGCAGGAAAGAGGCACTGAAACAGATAAACTATTACCAACATTAACACAAAAACTCCTGTCGCTCAGAGAAGAACGGAGCCATTCTAATGCAGCACCAATAATCCCAACCAAGTGTTCTTACCACAATAAAAGGATACTGTGGTCAATACTGTCAAAAGCAGCAGTAAAGTCCAGGAGTACAAGGTTCACAAACTGATCAGAATCATTTGCTAAAAGAATGTTGTTACAAACTTTTACCAAGCTGTTTCAGTGCTGTGTAATTGTTTAAAACCAGACTGAAAAACCTTCAGTCTGGTTTCAGTCATTCAAAATGTAATATGTTTCAAACATTGATGCAATGATTTAAACTGACCTGAGAAGAGAGTCACCAGAGAGGAGGCGTGTGCGAGTGGAGAGGAGCAGAGGACGGCCATTCTTCAGCCAGCTGATCTGAGGCGGAGGGTTTCCTGCTGCCTGACACTCCAGAGTCACCATGCTGTCCTGTGTGACCTGCACCTCTCTGGGGATGGTGGTCTCACCAGAGATAGATGGTGGAACTGTGATTAAACCAAAACAAGTTAAAATAAACAACTCTTGAGCTTTAACAAAGATCAAATCTATGTTTTTACCAACCTAGAACAACAAGGGTGTAGATTTTGCTCTCCTGGCCTGCTGGGCTGACAGCTGAGCAGGTGTATGTCCCAGAATCCTCAGGGCCAGGCCTCATTAGGGTTAATGTGCTCCCATCTTGGGTCACACTGCAGGGATTGAAACACGCTTAATGTTTTAACATCATTGTTTTCTGTCTAAACTTTCCCCACCTATGAAGCTGAGAATTATCTCATCATGGCTCTCATCATCATCCCCTTGATTTTCACACAAACAAATTTGTTTTTTCTGGCTGATGAAGTTGTGATGAACACAAACAGCTGTAAAACAGCTGCTCTTGGTAGTCCTCATGGTGAAATGGCACCAGAGACTATAAATCGTTTTGTTGGCACGTTCATTATCCTCCATGATGATTAGTGGTATAATATTACAAATCTTCAGGAAATTGAGATGATGGTCCTTATTGTACATGTAAAAAAACTGAACTGCTTCTGAGAGCTACAAGAAGATTATTATTGTTCCAGTTACTTGAACTTTCAATCCAGAGGAACTTGAAATGACTTACGAGATGTGGCGTGTGTCCGATCTCTCTAAAGGTACTCCGTCTTTTAGCCAGCTGATGTGCGGTGTGGGGAGTCCGTTAGCTCTGCACTCCAGGCTCAGCTCCTCTCCCATGGGTGCACTTACATCAGATGCTTGGTCAGAGTCCAGGATGGTGGGCGGTACTGGGAGACGCAAAGATTCAAACCCATTCCCGTATACGTATAGGACACGTGTAAACACAGTTCCATGTAGAAGAAGAAGAAAAGTGTGTACCTTGCACCACAAGTGTGTAGTCTTTCTGTATTTGTCCCTCGCTGTTCTTGGCTACACATGTGTATGTCCCTGCATGGGACAAGCTCAGAGGCCCCAGCTCCAGTCTGTGACCTCGGACAGACCACTGCCACTGCAAACTGCTCTCTGAGCAAGAACATCTGCATATTTTAGCTGTCACACATGACATGTACAATTTCCTCCATCACTGCCTCTCTACCTACCTATAGGAGTTCCATCTTTGAGCCAGGTAATGCTGGGGACAGGTACTCCTGTGGCCTCACACACCAGGGCCACATGGGAACCCAAAGTATAATTTAGAATCTCCCTCAGGGGTCCATCAAGCTTTGGTAGAACTGTGGAAACACATTTCTGCTGTAAGCCCAAACATGTACACCATTGATGGTTGAACATTAACACTCACTTTACAGGGATTCTTACCATGAATCATCAGTCTGAATGTCCTGTCCACCTGTCCAGCCACATTGGACACTTTGCAAGTATATGTGCCACCATCTGTGATCTATTAAGCAGAGGGGAAAGGCTGTGGTTATGTAGCCAAACAGTGCTCTGGTTCAAATAAATGATTATGTCACATATGCCATGAATTTATGTCAATACACATCAATAAACATAGAAAGTCTGTTTGAAAAGAGTTGCTGAAAGCCACTTGAAATACATTTTGTTTTGTTTGCTGTAGGACACGAGCACGATTTATTGAATCTGTCCCGACCTGTACTCTCATGATCTCCAGCTGGTGGTGGTCTATCTTCAGCCCGTTCCCTGAAGCCAGTTGAAGACCATTCTTGTACCATGTGAGTTCTGGCTCAGGAACACCTTGGGCTTCACATCTCAGGATGACTGATTTACCAACATGAGGGGTCACTGTGTCTGCGTCAACGTCAAGCCGGGGCTTCAAGGAGGGAGGGACTGTTGAACACACATAGAGAAGAGTTTGATTCGTTCAGAATTGGTATGAGTCACATCAGGACCATCCTCTGTCACAGCTGGGTTACTGCTACTAACAACTATTACATGAACAATCTTTTTACAGATTTGATCATGTGCATTTGAAGCTGAATTGTGCTGATGGATTGCCATGGATTTGCTCACCATAGACACTAAGCAGAATGCTCTTCTGGGCCTGCCCTGCTGAGTTGGTGGCCGTGCACACGTATTGCCCTGCATCGTCCAGTCCTGCCTCAGGCAACTGTAACATCTGGCCACCTTTAATAGAAGGTATATATGTGAAATGTAATATCAGTGCCAGTATTAGATTTCAAGAAAGGAAATGTTGCTGGTGGCTAAATTATTTGGGCATTGCAGTTGACCGATGACTGACCTGGCAGGATGTGGATGGAGGTGCTGAAACGGAGGAGCTGCCCGTCCCTGGTCCATGTGATCTCTGGGGGAGGGTATGCTTGGACGTCACACATCAGTGACACCATGTGACCCTCAATGACACTCACCTCCTCCTCATTTGGTCCAGTTATTCGAGGAGGCACTGAAAAATACAGTTTATGGAGAAGACACCAGTTAGTGCATCTTTTATCGTTAGAGAGGTTCTGATCATATTTACAGGAAGTGGTTTCCTACCTTGGACCATCAGACTGAAAAGCTTCTCAACAGTTCCAACCTTATTCTCAGCAACACAAGAATATCCTGCCATGTCTGAAACCTGGACATTGAGGAGCTGAGGGTTTGGGAATAAAGTGTTATTTCTCTACACAAAATGTTCCAGGAGGGTCTGATTACTCGCCGGTAAATCTCCTGAAGTGATCGGAAGCTAACCTGAAGTCGTGCCCCGTCCTCGATGATGTGGTGCTGTGAGTCTGTGTGCACCGGCTGTCCATCTCTCAGCCAGGAGATGACCGGAGCCGGATGTCCAGTCACGTCACAATGCAGAACCACAGTGCTGTTGACCACTGCACCCATCTCCTCCATAAACTCCTCCGAAGCTCCCAGAATGACAGGAGGAACTAAACATGGGAGAAACAAAATAAATAATAGTGTATCGCTTTAATCACTTACATTTTTGCATTGTTAAAAATTATTAAACCACATGTTGCTTACTGAGGACCTCCAGCTCAAAATGCATGTGGTCCTCCCCTGCTTCATTCACAGCCTGGCACGTGTACCTCCCAGCATCCTCCTGCTGCACTCGGGTGATCTGCAGCACCTGGCCTTCTGGAAAAATAAAGCATGATTCATAAATATGATACTGAGGAGCAAAACTGCTGGTTTAGGTCATGCCTGAAGGAGTTCCACCTGACCTGGAAGAAGAGCCACTCCATCAGCAGACGTGAGCTTTCGTCCATCCTTGTACCAGCTGAGTTTTGGTCGAGGGATGGCATTGCTCTCACAGGACAGGCTGACTGAATGACCGAGGACAACCTCTCTCCTCTCCACCATGTCTTCATTGTCCCCCTCATGTGCCTGGCCCCAGGCTGCTAACTTGTTTGTCACGCGTTGGAAGATGGGTGGAACTTAAAACAAAACACAAGTTTGATCACTTTATACCAAATCAGAACGATTTCTTTACTTTAAAATGTCTCGCAGAACGGTTTGACCAGAATCTAAACCACCAGTGATGATCTGAAGGAACTAACACACCTTGGATTGTGACGTGAAAATCTCTCTTGTCCTCTCCTGCGGAGTTGGTGACCACACAGGTGTACTGGCCTTCATGGGTCAGCAAGGCATTCTCTATGTGGAGGAAGTTGCCATTCTCCTGAATGTCAGCCGGGTGGTTTCCAGTCAGCAGCTAATGGAGAAAAATCGAAGATTTTAAAGTTTGGTGAAATGCCTTTTAAGCAATTACCATATTTTCTGGACTATAAGTTGTAATTTTTTTAATAGTTTGGCCAGTCTTGCAATGTATAGTCCGAAGTGACCTATATACGTTTTTTTTTCACCTATTCATGACGCCATTTTGGATTGATGTGTTAAATGTTCATTCATACTGACGACTGGCTGGCTCCCAGCGGGCGCATTACCTCTGCGGTGGTGCGCCGCGACCAGCTCTGGGTCGGTCTGGAAGAGTCCAGGGACGAAGGTGGCTCTACAGCGTCACCTTTCCTGTACTGAGCTGCAGACCCCACGCCTCACTGCCTCCACTTCCTCCCCACTCCAGTAGTGGAGGGACGGGGCACGGCTGCTGAACGGGACGGACTGTTCTCTGTGTGACACGACCGCGCCGCCCAGGCAAAATGAAGCTGTTTTGACCATTAAAGTGCATTTATTAAGGAAAACTTAAACTGAGGCACACCTTTGCTATAATGTCGAGAAAACAAATAATTATTTTTAAGTGTTAATCTTGTTAGATTTCAAAGAACTGCAACAGCAAGTCCTCCTGTGTGCGCTCCCGCGGCCGCCTGTTGATTTTTGGCACGGCACCAGCCCACGTTTCCCAGGGATCAGCGGTGACGCATAATAAATGTGACTTATATATGTTTTTATACCCTCTTCCTGAGGCATTTTTTGACTGATGAGACCTTTACTCCGGAGCGACGTATAGTGCGCAAAATACGATATTAGACAAATGAATGCTGAGAGTCATTTGATTCTGCTGCTCTTTTCTGTTTTTGTTAGATATCTTTTTTTCTTTTCTTTTATAGACTCCTTTTTTCAAGACAACGTTTTGCCTGCCATTACCAGCATTTGTAATGGTATCATTTTCAGAGTTAAAATAAAACAAAAACTATTCAACCAAATTTCTAAATGTAGAAAAATGAATCCATGCAACATCAGATTCAGATGTGCCTAATTTATGGTTTGTAATGTAACACAGTGTGCTCACAAACTGAACATCAAACTTGTAAATTACAAGTTGAGTAGAAAAAACTATATATTATTGTCACAGATGAGGCCTGCAGTGTTTAATTACTGGATTTTTCTTGAATATATCTTTGCTATAATTAACTTGCTTATTCATCGCATAAAACTGTGAGTGTGGGGGTGGATCTATAGTTTGTGGTGGCTGTTGTAGTTCCTGCTGGTTGTCAGTAGAGGATGGTACAGGTGAGATTTTGGTGCATGAATCTCTCAGAGGAATTTTCTTTTAGATGCAGTTTATAAGTACAACACACCAACCTGACCATCTTTGAACCAGTGAACTTTAGGCTCAGGAAAACCTTTGGCCATACAAGACAAAGTTAAACTCCCATTAATCTTCACTTTTTCATCATGACCAGCAAATGTGAAGGATGAAGATTCTCCTTCTATCTGTGGAGGAACTGATGAGAGAGAGAGAGAAAATGAGAAATATTATAAAATCTGTTTCCAGCACCTGAGAGTTGTATCGGACATGATTTTTACCCAGAACACTGAGTGAGTAGTGTTTGAAGGTCGTGCCGGCTGGATTTGTTGCTCTGCAGGTGTAAAGGCCGCTGCTGTCTCCCTGCGCTGAGCCCAGCCGCAGAGCCTGCCCTCCGTTGGTGTATGTCACCTGAGGCGTGGACACGAGGGGCTGGTTGTCCTTTAGCCACGTGATACTGGGGGTAGGTGAGCCCTCGGCATTACAGGGGAGGACTGAGGGGAAACCCAGTACCACTGACACCTCTGAGGTCTCATTCACCCCCTTGATTATGGGGGGAGCTAGAAAAGAAACAGCATAATAAGTGCCATTTTAGTAGCCTAATGTATCAAGTGAATGAATCCTTTTTGAGCCTCTACAGAAATGCATGATGATCTACAGCAGTGAGCAATCACAGCACATGCTCCTAGTGTGAAGGAAAACATTTCCAGTTTTAAACGTGTTCTCAAAAAGCTGATGGTGTTTAGATATTAACACACTTAAAATAATTATTATACTCCATTATTACTTAATCAGCACTGTACTGGTGTCAGTTAACAGCAGTAGCTGACACAGAAATGGTCTGCAGAAGTTCAAATAGTTTGAGGTTCTGGTTTCTGATACATGGAGTTATGTGGAAAGGTTATGAACAATCAGCATCTTACCTGTTGTAGATAGCTGCTTGAACAAACTCAAGTTTGGAGAATTTTTTGGGAGAATGTTTAATTTTGAATGGATTGACGAGTTAACGAGTAGTCCAAGTGGGATCAAGACCAAAGTGTTTTGCTGCTGCTTTCAAACCACTCAGTTCTGAAAATTTAATTATTTCTGTTTATGCAAATGCTACTTTGAATTAACTAATTACTGGGTAATTAATTTAACTTGTCATTTTCTGTAAGTTTTTGCATTACCCAATTATTCTAGTAGAATTATAATATTCCTACAGGAAGTGCTTCAATCTGCACCAGAAGTGCTACAGCTGCCACTATTTGTGTTTACAAACAACTCTGTGTTTACAAACAACCACAGAATGAAAATGTAAATGACCGTGTAAAAAAATTTCATCTCAAGTTGTTAACACAGTCATCTGAAACAGGTAAGATGTTCACAATCTTTCTACTGAATTTCTTGTCAAAAACCTGAATTGTTTATTTCATTTTCTTACATAGATTAGGTTTCTCAGCCAAATTATAGTCGTTACACTTGGAAGTACAGGTACATGGTTTGCATGCATGTGTGCGTGTGCGTGTATGTGTTAGAAAGCAAACGATCAGCACCTTGAACTGTAAGTCTGAACTGACGCATCTGTGTTCCTGCGCTGTTCCTGGCCAGACACTGGTAAAGCCCCTGGTCCCTCAGTCTTACTGACGTCACCCTCAGCACCTGACCATCTTCCAGAAACTCCACATGTGGATCTCCATCACGGGACAGTACCCTGGAGAGAAAAGGAAGTAATGGATGATTGCAGCTTTGTGTGTGCACTGGTGAATGTCACATCAATAAACTGTTAGTGAACCCTACTCTCCATCGCGACTCCATTCCACTCTGGGAGCTGGTTGTCCACTAACTAGGCACTGAAACTCCACCTCCTGACCCCGCACCACAGTTAGTTCCTGCAGTCGGGACGTTCCCGAGATCACCGGTGGAGCTGCACATAACAGTAGATATCTATTAGCATTTTCTTTTAAGAAGATACCTTATCACTGATTACTTATTACAGTACTGTTATAGATGGTAACTTGCAGTTCACATACTCTGAGGTCAGCACCAAAATAATGGCAAGATCAAGTACCTCTTTAGGTGGTGTAATAAAAGACAGTATTTTGCACATCTCCTACTTGTTTAAATACCATCTGGACACAAGCTTTATGAGCTCACCTTGCACCACTATGTTGTATTCTCGTCTCTTCTTTCCGGCTGTGTTTTGAGCTGTACACACAAACTGTCCTGCATGTTCAGGCTGAACTCGGTAGATTCGGAGCAACCTGTTGGCGTTCTGCAGATACACCCCAGGGCTGTCCACCTGGACCAAGAGATCAACTCTGTAAAGCTTTGGGTTTGACTATGATGGAATCAATAGCCACTTGGTGGCATTGCACACCTAAAGATACAGGTGACTCACTCACCAGGTGACCATCTTTAGTCCAGGTTACTGATGGAGAAGGGATGCCAAAAGCATCACAGCCCAGAGTGAGAGGCTGCTTCAGGGTGACAGTGAGGTTTAGTGGCTGGCCGTCATCTGGGATCTCTGGGGGAACTAAAGTAGGACAAAAAGATAGGAATGTGTGTCATTGCTATGACAAATGTGTGTTGTTATCAGACCAGAGTGGCTAAGGAGCTATAATTAAATCCTCACCATTTACTTTCAACCTAGTCTTTCTCTCTACAGAGCCTGCCTCATTGGTTGCCACACATTTGAAGTCTCCGCTGTGGCTGGCAGATGCTGCGCTAATTACAAGAGCTCCATCTCTCGCCACAGAGAGCTCTGATTGTTCGGGGTGTATCTCCAAGCCATTCTTGAACCAGCGCACTTTGGGACGAGGTGAACCTGCAGATGATATTGGGAAAAGGAAATGGTTTTGAGCAAGGCCATAAAAAACTTTATTGGCAATGTCTGACAAAAAGAAAAGTGACTTCCATCTCTCTGATTTTCTACAGACAAACTTTTTGGGCAAGCAGCCCAGACTCAGAAAATGCCAGCGCTCGATTTATCTGCTGGACAGCAGGCAAGACTGCCAAAACAGTTAGTTCTTGTGGCCTGCAGGCATAATATTCCAAGGTCAGACTCACATAAAAAATCCACAGCATCCTGGAGCAAGGTACAAAGAAATATTTAAGACAGTACTCAAGATTTATTACCAAACGCTGAAACAAGAGACTAAAGCTGTAGGAATATGAGAGGTCGAATAGGCAGTTAAAAGGAAAAGACACCTTAACTCAGGAGCCTGAAACAGATGTGTTTTGTCAGTTACTGGGTATTAAAGAGGTGGAAATAGTCCACAGGAGGTAGGTGGAACGGAGAAAATGTGAAAGTTTTTATTTTGTACCCAACACATCGGATTGAGTCACCATGATGGAGCAGCCCACTGGAGGGAAACACAACGCAGACTATTTCCAGAGGCGTTACATACAAACAGAGCTGAGGTGGGAAATCATCCCAGCACTTGTCTCCAGTCCATAATATGCTAACCGCAGGACACCATCAGTGATGTTATGTTGCTTCTCCGAACACATGTTTACAGTTTAAGAGCGCTGAAACAAATTATGTCATCGCTGGGAGGAAATGCATGCAGATCTCTGGTTTAGTTGATAACAGATCTCATTAGTATACTGATATTTATGTTTTTTCCTTGAGTCCTCAGTAAGGGATTAACCTTTTCATGTGCTTTTTGAATCACTACCTACATCAATGCAGAACGTTTGTTGGTGAAATAATAATATGCTTCTGGCAGACATGCATTTACTTGCTCATATAAAAAGCTCTTGAGGGAACAGTGCAGAGAGAGATCCTCATTTCCTGCCATTGACTGCCTCTCTTGGGTGTCAAGAGCATCAAGGATTTCTGCATGAGCCCTATAGAGCATGCTGCTGTCTGCCCGCTCGTGTACAAGGAGGGATAGTTTGGTTTCATCCACCGCTTCCTGTGCTTCATGGTGCAACTCAGACATCTCTGTCCTTTATCTGCCGGCAGCAGCCTGTAATTAGGATTCCTCTCCCAGCAGGCCGCGGTGCAGAGGAAAGCAGATGTGGCTCACTGAGGCAGCAGGCAGACCGATGTTCCAGCTGTTGCTCCACATTAGACACAGCCCTCACCTTCTCTCAATGAGCTGGTTACCATGGCACAGCTTCACACAAGCATTAAATGTTTGCTGTCAGAGAGTAAGTATCCTTCAACATATCCACAGACGTGAATATGCAACAGTGAGCTCTGATAAAACAGGAGCTTTTGGAATGCTGCCATGATGACATAGAGATTTTTTTTATGCATAGACAGCTGCTTGTCTCTGATGAGACACTGCACTTTTAAATTAGAATTTTATTCCTCCTTATGTCATGGAAGCTATAACTAAAGAAGAGGCATTAACCGTAAACCCTGAAATTTGCACCCTGTAAATTTCACCTTTTCGATCTGTATGCGCTGACTCATCAGTGACTCATTCATACCTTCGGCTCGACAGGGGATGATGACCTTGCGGTTCACTACTTTCTCCATGATGGCATCTCCAGGTTCTGCAAAGAACGGGGCCTCTGTGAGGACAGATGGACATGATACGTGTCAGTTCAAACCTTCAAGGAGAATAAAAGAAAATCACTCATTCAATTTAGAACCCTTATGCTAGTTCTGCCACAGTTTATATACGCACATGACTGATTACGTTTGAGACGGAGTACTGAAATGTATGATATCAAAGATAGAAGATAAGCAGGAACCTAAGTTGGAAAGGACTAAGAAGGATGTAAATTGGAAGGGTGGTTTAAAGGGGTGGAATGTATAAATTAGTGGAAGAACATAAATAGGTTCTTGAGACGCCCATGTCTGATGGACACAAGACTTGATACAGAAAAATCTAGACAAGGGTCTACAACCTGCGGCTCTGGGGCCACATGTGGCTCTTCAGTCGCTCATCGGCGGCTCTTTGAAGCTTTGACTAAAACTTAATGAAATGTAATTGTATTGATTTTTATACCCACAACAGAAAAGGCTAGTTTTGGCAGTTTTATTGTCAAATTTTTGCCTGATAACTACTAGTAAGATGAGATAAGAACTTTATTCATCCTGCAGGAAATTGTTGAAGTAAGTTTCTTTCGGCTGCTCCCTTCTTCAGGGGTCACCACTCGCATGAAAGATTTGTCTTTTCTTTTTTCTTTTTTACGCCGGATGCCCTTCCTAACACAACCTGGACTCCAACTCCCAACCTCAGGATTACAAGAATGGCCACCAAGCTACCGCAGCCCCGCCTGATATTTATCATTCCTCACATAGGCCTGCAGAGCTCGGTGTTTTAATTTTTATCAAAATTAGTATAAACTATAATTATTTTCTTTCTTTACTTGATATGATCATTTTTTGTCTTTAAATGTGAAAATATCAATAAATGTTAAAATTCATGATGTGATTTTAGTTTTATAATGTCGCCCCCACTGGCCAGAAAATCCCCCACTCCAACAAACTCAGTGGCCCATGGGCCATCAGTTGATAATCACAGCTGTAGCAGGTTTTGTGGCTCCAGATGTGTTTTATTTAGTGAGTGAAGGGACAGAAATGGCTCTTTTGATCAATAAGGTTACAGACCCCTGATCTAGACCTTGGTCCGATCTGATTGAAACTGGAAGGACACCAGAAGTCCAACTTGTCTTCATTTATAAGAGCTTGACAGAAGGTTGAAAAGCTTAGACAAGGCTTTACCCCCACAGGCTCAGTACAGACTCTGTGCAACACTCCGTTCTACAGAAGCAGACTAAAAACATGTTTTATTTCCTTCTTTAAAATAATCCTGCCACTCACTCTTCATGACAGGCAACTTTTCACTCTGCTTCTAAGTGTGCCTTTAAGGGACAACACTTACAATAAACACTTGTTTTTAACAGGTTTCTTCTCCACCCTCGGCTGATGGAGCTAATGATCCCAAAAGTGAATTTGTTTCAAGCAGAGCCTGAAAATACAATAGTTCATTTTTAAAAGATAAGCAGAGTGTGGAGACTTGAAATTGCAACATTTACCAAGAACTTCCAGATTAATTTCTAGCTTCTCCAGTCCAGCACTATTTCTGGCCACACACTGGTAGATGCCCTGGTCTGTGAGGCTGACGTGCTGGATCTTTAGGGGCGCAGAGTTCTTTTTGCCAACAGGCTGTCCGTTGTGGAACCAGCTGATCTCGGGCTTTGGCTCTCCCTGGACCACACAAGGCAGAGTCACTGTTTGTCCAAGCAGGGCTTTCAAGATGGAGGGTGCTGGCTGAATCCTGGGCTTAACTAAGAATGGAAACATTTAGTTCAAGGGAATATAATTCAGCTCTTTACTGATTTGCTTACATTAGGTAATGAAATTGTATAGAATATGTCAGCAAGTCAGCATGTTGAAAAAAAAATGCTTTGAGCTTTATAAAAGTTGAACTTTCAAACAAAAGCCCTGTTGAGTTACCTTGGACGTGCAAATTGTAGCTCAGAGACACGTTGCCTGCTGGGTTTTCTGCAGTGCAGGTGTACAGTTTACTATCAATCAGACGCACATCAGTGATCCTCAGAGAGCCTGAGGGCAAAACAGTGAACCTGGAGAGAGGTAGAAGCAGAAAAAGGTGAAAAAACAGTCACAGAGGATCTTTTACCACAGTTTATGAGATAGAAGGCTCTACTTTTTTTAAAACTGCTTTGATTCTTTTTTTTTCAATGTGATATTAATTGTATTGAAGTAGGCATACGTTTAGATGAGCACAGAATAAGTAAATATTTATCAAGATATTAGCTAGTTTTTCAAAGTACTGGTCAGCCAGTACCTCTGTAAGACGGCTCCTTTAGATATCAAGATGAAAAAATGACATTCTGCATTTCAGATGATTTTTCCCACTTTCAAATGTTTTGTCTGTTTTTATCATAAAATAAGAATGAGCGAATGGGCCTTGAATGCATGAGAAGCTGCCTCCTTGTTCAGTGGCATTGTTTTGTTGCCGTGGAGAAGAAAGGTGTGGAGGCTGCACAGCTGCAGAAAGAAAAGCTTTGCAGAGAGTGGTGAAGGCTGCACAGAAGACTGTTGGAGTCAGCCTCCCACCCATCACAGACATCTACACCTCCAGATGCAGGAAGAGAGCCAACTGCATCATGAAGGACCACACTCACCCAGCACACACACTTTTTGCCCTGCTCCCCTCAGGAAGGAGGTTAAGGAGCATTAAGTGTAGAACCACTAGACTGAGGAACAGCTTCTACCCTGAGGCTTTTAGACTCATGAATATATAACCAGAATAATCACTGTGAAAAATCACATCATGTTGCTGCTGATCTGTTTCATGTTGCTGCTGATCTGTTTCAATGTTACTGTATTCATTCGTACTCATCTGCTCACACAGACTCATGTTCGTGCTGCTGTTCGGCGTATTATGTTTATGCTACTAGTGCTTAGTGTATTTTTAGTTTAACATGTTTTTCATAAGTCATATCTTAGATCTAATCACTGTTTTTCTTTTACATTTTATTGATGGATGTAACTGGGACCCTGTGTACACAATGTCATTCCACCACATGAACAACATGTGATGGAATGACAAATAAAGAACCTTGAATCCTTGAATCCTTGAATCCTTGAAAGGATCTGTGAGATCTGGGTTATGAGAAACTAAAGTCTGGATCTCAATCAGATCCAGTAATCTCCCCAAACTAACTTTGATATGAAATTATGTGGAAAAAAATCCCAAACTCAAAAAGAATCACACATTTCTTCCTGTTGGGAAGAATAATTATAAGTGTAGCAAAATGCTGTTTATCACACTGAGGCCAGGAAATAAAAATAATTTGAAAATCAAAAGCTTAGTGTAATAATGAGGCTTCAATGTAAAGTCATGCAGGTTGTCTCTTTGAAAACCCAAATGGAGAACAAAGTTCACTCAGCACCGCTCACTCTTTTTTACAGGTGTTTATCGCTGACAATCATAAAGGCTTTCTGTGGTAAAGGTCAAGTTAAACTCTGCTTTAAAACAACAACGGCAGCAATTAAACGTACGGTGAACAGGCTGAACGTAGGTCAGTTATGTTAAATGACTTAATGGTCATATGAAATACACCAGAAGACGTGCAGCTGCATATTATACAGAAAAGTAAACACACTTCTGCAATTTATCTTAGATAAGTCTGTCTGGTAAGCAACTCAATTATAACAATAACATGGTTGTATAAGTGGAAACCAGCTGGCAGCACAAAGAGCTCTCTATTTCCACTTATATTGTGTAATATCGTTCCCCCACCTCCTGAAACAAACGTAGGAGAGGCAGCAGCATTCAGCCGGAGAACCAAACAACTTCCTGCGCCAGCCAGCCGGTGCTCAGGCTGCAGCTCAGCAGAGCTCAAACACACACCCCTTCACCCCCTTCACCAATCCATCACTCCCCACACTGGTGTCAGGTCATCTGTGTACACAGTCTGGCGCAGGGACTAACTGGGACAAACTGGCCTCGTCAGCGTTGGGTAGAAAACGGACACATCTTCTGAGACGGTGTTGAACATCTTTGTGTCTTCGCTGACCACCGTCTGCCTTTTTTCCAAGTACAAGGCTGAATCCAGGGTTGTAGAAGTCTCACCGCCCACTCATTCAACTTGTTTCCACAACCAGCGGCCCCCTGCTCATTTCCCCTGACCCTCGAAGTGTGGCTGAGAGAACAAATCTTTACCCTGTCTGCTTGTTTCCACAGATCCTGCATATGCATGGGATGTGGGGGTTGTTCGCGGAGATGTGTTATTCTCATCAGACATGACTAGTAAAGAGTCAGCATGTTGTTTTACTGCTGAAACACTCCAGGGAAGTCAAACATGAGGCAGACAGAGCTTGGTTCTCCTTTTTTTCTATCAGTTCATATTCCTCCCTTCTTCCCAGCATCCACCACTCCACCCCCACTAGTTCCTTCTTTCAGACCCCACAAAAGCCATACAGTATCTGAGTCACCATCGCCTTCAGCTCCCTTGTCATTCCTTTTTCTCCCCAAACCACTCTGTATGGTGTCTGGCCATGGGAGTTAGTCTGTCATCCATCCAGTGTGTGTCTCAGATCAGCCAGCCTGTCGGCACCGAGGGTGACCACACATGAAAGTAAGGATTCAGGCCATGTGGAACCAGATGTTTCTCCTCAGTTTAGACTATGGGTGAAGCCTACACAGCGTTGCAGCAGACTGCTGCCTCTGTCTAGCTGCTCTTTAAGGTGCATGAAAATGAAATCCAAACATTAACATCTCTCCAGGAATGTTAGCCAACCTGAGCCAGATGAACATTTCAAACTGGGTAAGGTGAACTGGTAAAGATGAGAACATTTATTGTGTGAATGTTTATGAAGCATTCACTTTGAGATCCATTTTTCTTCCGTACATTTTTCAGCATCTTTTTCGTTCCACAGTTTTTGTGCTATTTCAACAAATCAAATCAAAATGTTCAGCTCGTTCAGGAGAAGGGTGCTATGACTTTTGGTTTTGGTGCAACTTTAGCTTTTCAAAATATTTGGCTTTTTCTGCCACTTTTTCCTCATAGAAAATGAATTGAGCTCATTTTCCATCTTTCATATTTTTAGATCTGTTTACAATCTTTTACTGCTCCTTTCACATTTTGTTCTAGTTCAGCTTCTTTCAGCTTTCTTGTGCGAAGTCAAACTTTTTTCAGCTACTTTCAGCTAATTTGAGATGGGTTTTTGTCAGCTTTGGTGATCCTTTTAGATTATTTCTCTTTACATTATTTTTGTGCTTTTTCTAACTTTCTGCTAATTTCAGCTTGTTATGCTCCTTTCAGTTTATTTCTGCACATTTCAGCTTCTTCTGCTATTTCAGCTACTAATAATCTGATTTTATGCTAATTTTAGCTTTTTTGGATAATTCCACATTTTTTGCAATAATTTATACTTTTTTCAGTCTAATTCAGCAAAATTGTGCTCTCTCCACTTACTTCTGGTAATTTAAGCTGCTTTCTGCCTTTTTTTAGCTACTTTTCAGCTGTTTGATGCTAATTTCATATTTTTTCAAATAATTTTCTCTTTTTATGCTCATTTTTTGTTTCTTTCAGCATAATTGGGCAAACATGTGTCCTTTCTGCTTTCTTCTGCTAATTTAAGTTTGAGCGACCTTTTCAGCTAGCTTTGTAGCATTTTTTTGTAGCTAATTTCAACTGTTTTCAGATAAATTTAAGTTTTTCATGTTAACGTCTGCTACTTTCAGCATAATTAACTTCTGTATGTTATTTTTATCTTGTTATACTCCTTTCAGCTTTTTTCTGCTAGTTTCAGATTTTTCTGCTCTTTGAGTTACTATTTAGCTCTTTTGATGCTAATTTGAGCTTATTCAGCTGATTCCACATTTTTGGGTCATTTCAGTTTTTCCTCTTCCTTCAGGTAGCTTAAGCTTCTTCCTGCCTTTGCAAGTATTTTTCAGCTATTTTTTTTTTCTAATTTCATCTTTTTTTAAGCAAATTTTCTGTTTTTTTTCCCTCATTTCTGCTTATTTAAACCTAATTCAGCAAATATGTGTTCTGTCTGCTTTTTTCTGCTAATTTAGATTTGTTGTGCCATTTCAGCATATTTTTAAGCTAATTTCAGGTATTTTTCAGCAAGCTCTGCAGCAATAAGCATTCAAACTGCATTTTCACAGGAAATGCAATTTCTCTAGTTGTTTTTCACTTGATACTTAATTTCACTGCACATTAATTGAAGTTGAAGACTTCTATCTTACCCAGCTGTGACGGGGGGGATGGGATGTCCATTTCGGCTCCATGTGACCAACGGAGAAGGACGTCCCTGGACCTCACAGAGGAGGACAACTTCTGTCCCCACCTCTGCAGCCACTTCTACAACGTTGTCATGGCCACTCATGCCCGTTATCCTTGGCATGGCTTGGAAGAAACGAAAGAACATCATATGAAAACCATGTTAGCTCTTGTGGCTTTACACAGTAAACTGTTTGACACTGAAATGTTGTATTTAGGAGCCTGTTATAAATCTCTCTATCTTACTGTTGACACTAAGCTGGATTTCTCGACTGGCATAGCCGACAGGACTGGTGGCGGTGCAGATGTAGATCCCTGCGTCGTCAGCAGTGGGATGAGAAATGTGGATGTATTCAGAGTCAAGCTGCAAAGAGGAGTGGTCCCTGGGCAGAGGTTGTCTACCCTGGAAGAATGGCAGCCAAAACAGAAGACAGAATATACCGTAAAAGCTTCACATGCACAACAGTGCAGAGACGCTAAGCTTAGTTTAAAGTGTACAACTCAATCTTTGATGTCAAACATAATTAGACTGCCCGTTGAATTGCTCTCTATCTACAATATCCAGGACACAGAAGAATGCAGCCAGCTGTGAAAGCACTTGCTTTGCATATAAAATTCCTTTTACAGATTCACTTTTATCTGACAAGAAAATAAATGTACTTTACATAAGAGAGCCCACTGAAAATGTTTGGTGGAAGAAATAAGACAGGCAGAGCTGTCTCTCTTCAGTAATAAAGGAAACAGCAGCTTGTTCATTTTATCTCAGTAATTAACTCCACGTTCACAATGTAAGGTAGTCATTTGACATTTTTCCTTTCTTTATTTGTTAAACTTATAATAACTGTGGTTCTTAAATCTCAGCACTTCATAAATGACCACTGTAGGTAACATCTGCTTGTATTTTAGCCAGATGTTGTTGACAGAACAAAAGGAATCATGCAGAAGAATTCAAGTGAATAATCCAAAAAAGTTCAATCTGGTCCTCTGGACATTCAAAAAAAACAAAAGCAAAACAAAGCAAAAAAATTCTAGAAACGTTTCGTCTCTCATCCAAGAGACTTCCTCAGTCTGAGGTGCTGTTTTCAGCTCAGTCTCTTAAATAGCACCTTCTTGG